TGAACCTCATCAGGTTCACCCAGGCCTACCTTTCTAGCCTCTTGAGGTCCCTCTGAATGGCATCCCTTCCTTTACTATGTCAACCGCACCCACTCAGCTTGGTGTCATCAGAGAACTTGCTGAGGGTGCACTCAATTCTGTCATCAATGTAATTGATAAAGATGTTGAAGAGCACTGGTCACAAGACAGACCCCTGGGGGACGCCGCTCGCTACCAGCCTCCACCTGGACATGGAGCCATTGATGACCACCGTCTGTCTGCGGCCTTTCAGCCAGTTTCTTATTCATCAAGTGGTCCACCGATCAAATCCACAATCCTCCAATTTGGAGATAAGGATGTGGTGGGGGACCACGTCAATGGCCTTGCTCAAGTCCAGGTAAATGACATTGGTCACCTTCCCTTTGTCCACCGATGCCGTCACTCCATCACAGAAGGAAAGCTTAAGCTTATTAAAAATCATTATCCTCAGATGGTATCCTTAGAGAGGCATCAACCACCTCTCTAGGAATTCTCTTCCAGTGCTTAACAATCATCACAGTAAAGAAATTTTTCCAGCTATCAAATCTGGACTGGGTGTGGTGCAGCTCTCAGTGAGAATGTGTCATTCTCACATGTTCTATCATTTTTAAACTAGGAGATCAAAACCCTTTTCCCCTTTCTCATGATCAGGAAGCTGTAGAGAGCAATGAGGTCCTCCTTTTCTCCAAACCAGACAAATGAAGCGTCCTCAGCCTCTCTTTACACAACATGCCTACAGTCCTTCTATCAGACTCCTCTGGAGTCTTTCAAGTGAGCAAGTAACTGCTTCTCATGGCTCCATGTAGTAACTTGCTTTCATTCCTCAGCATCCTTCAAGTTGCTACCTTCATGCTTGCTGATGCAGATGAGATACCAGATCTAATTCAGTAGTGGCTATTTGGATGTTGGACTGGATGAATCTTGTAAGTCTTTTCCAACCTTGGTGTTTCTGTGATTCTGTATTCTAAGTTATCATTTGTGCACCAGAGAGGGTGCACCTTCTTGAACTCCCAGATGCTTCTGTCTTTCCAGTTATCCCTGAAGCTCAGCTACCAGGCAGAGCAGTTCATTTAGCTAGGCACACCTCCCACAGGTATGTTTGCTATCACCTGTCATTCAAAAGACTACCCCCATGCACACCCTTCACACTAAATGCTGGGTGGTTATATGAACTGACTGGAGCTCCATCTGGGTGGTTGCACTAGACCTACTCAATGTCAGAAGAACAGGACCAGAGGGCATGGTTTTCTGTTTAGTGATCATTTTTGACAGACTTGAACAATTTCCTTATTTATAGTTTACAAACCTTCTACATCTGAAAGAACAATAAGGAGATCAGTCTTCATTTCGACAGCCAGACGTGCTGCCAAACTGTCATTATCCTTCACACTAATCACCTGCAATGAACAGACATGAAACAAGAATACTGAACAGTGGGAAGAACTATGAAATATTTGGCTGCAACATACAAACCCAAGCCACTTCAGCACTACCAATTCCTTATTAGCTGCTTTGTCCATACCCAGTGAAAACTCTTAGAAGCCGATTTTTTGCATGAAAGTAAGTAGCCTTCTGGAATGCAGTAAAGCAGCATCAAAGTGACAGGCAGTCAGATCAGGACCCACGTTCTCTACATTGACACCCAATGAAAGGGCAAGAAGTACTAACGGATCATTCTTTAAGCACAGGTGTTCAATTAGATGATCTGCAGAAGTCAATTCCAGCCTCAACTATTCTGTGAAAACCAAACAGGGCATGCTCACTTTTAGCAGAGCAGATACCATTTGCCCTGCTTCCATGCCACTGTTTTATCATGTCAGAAATAGACAGGTTGGCACAGTTCTCTGCTCCCTTTGTCCACGTTACTAATTTTGTACGTTTCTCTGCTTCAGGCTCCAGATGTTCGTGATTACAGTGTTAGTAAACTATACTATTAGGGCTCTCCAATCTACAAAAAAGGTCCACCCCCTGCAATACTTTACCCACATTTACCCCCTGTAGATCACTGTTCGGTTCTGGAGGTGGAACAACAGCATCATTAGTGTTAATTATCGGGACAATATTCATTCTTAAAAGCTCATGTAGTGTTCCATTTAAGTTCCGACGCTTCTGTTCGTCATGGAAATCCAGATTGGTGACTAAAATCTAAAAGAAGACAGACTTTATATATACTTAGCCCATCATTTTTTTCTGACAAAAACATAAAACATATAGGGGTCTGCTCCAAAAGTAATGCCTCTTATTTTATTCTGTTGACCCACAAAACCAGAGACAGATGTTGGTGAGATGGTAGTAGAGGCTGAACTTTCCCATTAATATTCCATTAATTTTTGTTGCTGTGCCACAGATGGTAGCAGCAGGGCAGTCTGACAAAATGGCATCCAACACAGAAGTAAATATAAAGCAAAAGATGTGGAACTGAATTCCTCCATACAGAAAAAAATGGCATCTATCAACATTCACTGACACTTGCTTAATATTTATGGAGACCAAACAGTGGATGTTAGCACAGCGAGGCAGCAGGTGGTGTGTTTCAGCAGTGGTGACACTGACGTGAAAGACAAGCTGCTTTGGGTGACTATGCACAGCTGTCACCTCCGCTGGTGCAAATATTTACATGCACAGCACATGGGCTCTTGATAACTGCTGGTGAAAATGCATAGCTAATGGTGGAGACTATGTTGAAAAATAGCATTTTGTAGCTGAGAATTTGCTCTATCAATTACTGTTTTTATGTTCTTTGTTTCTGTTGTAGTATCCGTGGAAATAAGTAAGTGGCATTATTCTTGGAGCAACCTACATACAATCCAATATCATAATAGGTCGATCAATCAAGCCCTTTGGGTCACCAAACAATAACAAAAGCCACATTTAAAGGATAAAGAATACAAGTGAGAAATATTCTTGCCCTCTAGACCTTCACTAACCTCACAGCGTTCTCTTGAACGCTGATAGTTTTACTTCCTTCTTAAACTGTAGTGCCCAAACTCACACAGAATCACAGAATGACCTGGGTTGGAGGGGACCTCAAGGATCATGTAGTTCCAACCCCCCTGCCTAGCAGGGCCACCAAACATACACCTTTACTAGATCAGGTTGCCCAGAGCCTCGTCCAACCTGGTCTTGAACACCTCCAAGGACGGGGCATCCACAACATCCCTGGGCAGCCTGTTCCAGGACCTAACCACCCTCCTAGTAAAAAACTTCCCCCTAACATACAACCTAAATCTTCCCTCTTTTAACTTAAAACCATTTCCCCGTGTCCTGCTATTATCAGCCCTTATGAAG